TTTGGTTGTTGTGTTGTATGTGAAGTTTACTGCTGGAAGATTTAATAAACTGTTTGTGAGAATGTCCCGAGTTAATGTTGGCTGGCTTTTTGGTTTTGAATTGCCAGTATCTGCTTGATTGGCTCCTCAAACAATGTTAGTTCTAGGGACTTCTCATCAGAGAACTGTACCATTACCTGAGCATACCAGTGTTGAGATGCAGGTTTAAGTTTTTGCTTCATGTGACAATTTTTGCACTCCAAATATGCTGCTCCAGTAGATTGCTCTAGTTTCTTTTTACACTTAAAGCAAGAGAAGTACGAGTTGATGGAAACTATTCCCATTATTTCTCCTTCGACGGTTGTGGATACAAATTGTGTAGTGTCCTGAGTTAGTGGCACAGCTAGGATTTCAGTAAAATCTTCTGTGAGTCTGATTTCAGTGCCATATTTAGCAGTGTTTAAGTAAATGGTTTCATTGTATTTGTCCTTTCGTTACAGTTACATTGTGGAAGATATATGTTCGGTTGTTTTCCACTTGGTTAATAAAATTCTCCCACAATACCATTTTCATTGAAGCTGTAGGGTCAAGCAGAATACAGTTCACAAGAGTTAAATCTCCTGCTTTTTGCTGTTTGGACATGTTGGTTAGTTTGGCCTTTACAGTTATATGCTGGCCAACTCGAACAGATTTGACTGACAAAAGGGTGGTTGAAGATTGTATTTGTGATCTTTGGAAGTCCAGTTCTGGATAGTGTTCGACTATGACATCATGTCCCATCAACAGATCACTGGTGTTTGCATTGGTGTCTACTTTGAACCTTTTAATTTTTATGGGGCTCTTCTTGTCCTGAAAGTCTGCAAAAATCTTGCGCTTACTTGGTGAGAAGCACACGGCTCGGGTAACTGATTCATCCCTCCCTTGCAACTGGCATTGAAAAAACTTTTCGTTATACACAGCAGAAACATTATGTATGTATCCCACAAATTCTTGACTTGAAGAAGGAGCACCAGTGCTGTGAGTAGCTGTTTGCTTTGAGAAATCATCCATGACTGAAAAAAAGAGAAGACTATTAATAAATAAAGGATTATTGCCTATAAAAATAAAGGACACAATATAAGCTAAACCAATCCTTTGAGTATATAATTACTGAAATATAGTGGATATTTACCTGATGATTACTGTTAGGGGAGAGGGAGGGTACAGGGATGAAGGAGTTATAGAAATTACTGAATCTTTGTAGTGATTATTATGATTATGTAGTCATCTTTTAGTATGGATTGTATTACATCTAGGTGTGGTTGTGTCCTTATCTGTATAACAGGCAAGAAAAGTTTGAATTGAAGTTATGTTTCTGTATTGACATAGTTTATTAACGCACATATTGTTTTGTGGTCTGAAAAATAAGTTTCTAACAAGTGTAACTTTGCCTGAGATTCTGGCAGGTTAGTATAAATGTGGTCTATAGCTGTTTTGCTGTCAGTGGTATACAAAGATACTAACTGTCTGTAGTTATTTTCTGTAATAAATAGATTATATAATGGAACTCTATCAGTTTGATTTAACCAGTTTACATTAAAATCTCCAAGGAAAATATTGTACTGTGTAGTTGTATGTAAAAGTACCTGTCTTAATGCAATACACAATTGTGTTACTGGCACTTTTGGGGATCGATACACACCAATAATGGTGAGATGAGGTAGATACATGCATTTAATGATAGTCAGCTCAACACCATTCCTATTTAAACAATAAGGAGAGCCAGGAATTAATTGGATTCTGCTGTATACTGCTGTACCTCCAAACGGTCTTGTAGTGTTATTAGAGTCACAGTCATTTCTAAACAAACTATATCCATCAATGGCATACATGCTATCATGATCTGAATGAGTAAATCTTGTTTCTGAAAAAATGCTTATGTCAGTGTTTGAGTAGTTGAGATCTTTACGTATATCATCTATATGTTTGTGTAATGACCTTGCATTAAGATAGCATATTTTTAAAGAAAGTGGACTTTTACTATAAAGAGGAGATACTGACAGACTTAGACCTGAATTTCGTAACCGTCTCATTTCTGTTTGTACATCAGGACTGACAGCTATTTTCTTTTCACAAAGATTAGTTATATGTAATCCTTCTATGGTTTTAACTCTGCTAAGACCCACATAATGTATGTGAGGTATTGCCTTTTTAGTATCAAAGTTAACAACTATTCTACTCTCAGTGTCACCTTGTGATCTGTGAATAGTTTTAGCAGCAGCAGGCCTCAGAGGGAATTGTTTCCTCACAACTTGAGCTGTTCTATTTCTTCCTACAGCAAATTGTGTAGTAATTGGTTTGATAGGTGTCCAAGTAGTTTCTATACCCTGTGCATACAAGTGCTTATTATCACATCTAGTTTTTCCCCCTACATCAGCATGATCAAACTGTACCCATATTATACCAGATGGTTTGTTTTTCTGATGTAATTGTACTTTTTTAACAACATTTCCAGCACCATTTGTCATGCCATCTTCAGTTCTTATATTCATTGCTAATTCTGTTCTTTCACCTTCAGCTACATGAAGATTAGAGACAATTTGTTTTGTTTTCCTTGGGTCATCAGGTATCTGCTTCATTATTTTATCCCTAAGCTCTGAACAGCTTGCTCCTATTACACTATCTTGCGATTTAATAGAGTACTTTCTGCCTTTTGCTGCTTGGTGCACCTTTTCATTGAAATCATTTACCTTTTTGTTTTGTATAAAAAGATGAGGAATATCCATTAGGAAGTTGAGGTCACTTTTTTCATCAAACATTCTTTCTTTAAGTTTCAGAATGTCGTCAATTGTATGGATGCCTTCTCTTAATCTGTTCAAGATTTCAGCAAATAATTTGCTTTCTCTCTGTCTCATAATTTCATGTAGCTCGAACATTTTAAAATGTTTTTGCCATAGGTTTGGAGCAAGGATGCTGTATTCTGAGTTGTCTAAATCTTTAAATATATAGCCATCCATGACAGGCTGAAGTTGAAATAAATCACCAATAGCAATTATACTGATACCTCCAAAGTCATCCTTACTACCTTTTATATCTTTAAGTCTATTGTTGATTTGTACATTAAACATGGTATTTCCTACCATTGATATCTCATCTATGTATATCAGTTTCACACCTCCCAGCTGGCACCTGAGAGTATTTAGTCTACTAGAATCCAGTGGCTTATAGTCTTTCAAAGATTGACAGGCTGGTATTGCAAGAGCACTATGTATTGTGTTGCCTTTGATATTATAGGCTGCTTTACCAGTAGGAGCTAACATTAAAACCTTTACTTGATGAAAATCATCTCCAGCTTTGGTGTTATAGTATTTTAAAGCTGCTTGATACAAGGCTTTTGTAACATGTGATTTACCAACACCAGCTCCTCCACTGAGAAAACTATAGAATGGATCATTGGATGTTTTCATAAGATGTAAGCTATGGTAGAAGAATTCCTTTTGTTCTTTATTTAGTGTCTGGACCATATTACGGTATTCGTCATCTGGTATTTCATTTAATATAAGTCGCTCAGTGTTAGCTGCAGTAGATGGAATGCCTATGTCTTCTGAGAGGTCATAGCTCTCGGTGAAATCAGGGTGCAAATCTTGTGCACCTTCAGCCTCATCATGAAGTTCTATATCCTGAGTATTGGGTGCTATCAAATCATAATTATTGCCATTTTCTTCCATGCTACTTAATTTTTCTTCAATTTCATCTAAGTCTTGACTACAAACAGCATATAATTTCATTTGCTCCTCTATTTGTCCTTTTAATAGCAAGTAATTTTCTTGGTATGAAGAACAATTGCCAATCAAGTCAGTGTTTTCATTTCTCCATGATGTGAATAGCATGATTAATTCTCTATAATGTTTTTCAGGGTCTGCTATCTTATTAAAACCAACACTTCTAATAATTCTTGCTTTTGAACGCTTTTTATTCTTTTGACATTTAAATTTATTTTGGCAAGTTGCATTATGATCATCATCACCATTTTCATCATCATCATCATTTTGTTGTTCATCAATTGATGTTTCTAAAAGCAGATCATCAATATCTGTTTCAAATGACTTTTTATCATATGGCTTTCCTGGTAAGTCATACCACGCAGCCCAGTCAGCTAATGTTAAGTGTCCCAATTTTGCAGGGCGTTTGGTATATCTATCCAGTAACCCACTGGCGTAGATTTCTTCAGAATCGTCTTCCATTTCTTTGATATCACTAAAACTTTTCAAAAGTTTAACTCTATCTTCTGGAGGTGAGGTATTGACAAACACTACCTGACGAGATGATTTCCTCATTGGTAATTGCAACACAATATATACGGCTTCTTGTGCACTGATTTCAACATTGTTTAGAATTTATTGCCTATATCTCTGACTTGTTGCTTAATAGAAGCATTGCCTTTTCTGGCTTCATTACAAGCAACTCTCAAAATTTCACTGATGCCTTTTTGCGCTTTTTGAGATGTAAGAGAGGCGATATACATTGCACATGCATAAACATCAAGAACAAATTGAATGTCCATGTTTGCTCTCCATGCACTAAGGCAAGAACTGTTGTAATTATTTACCCGTAATTCATTTGGTTGTCGTTTTAAAAATATGGTAGGAGAGTTTAAGCTTGACCTGATAGCAAGGAGGTATGTTTCCTCTGAGACATTTAAATTTAGAAGCAGTTGGTCAAATGTTATCTCTTCTCCTTCTTTCATATCGTTTAATTTCTTTTTTATATTTTTCCAGGTTTCTTTGAGTTGCTTAAGTTTATTAGGTGCCTTTTCATCTTCATCTATAGGGTACAGAATTGCTGTGGCCTTCATAGGTGGCTGGGGATAATTAAATCTACATTCTGTGTTTGATTTTTTTCGACATGTATGAGAATGCCTGTGTATTTGTCGGTTGACAAGTTTTAGCAACTCAGGATCGTTAGTGGGTTTCTGACAAGTAATTACTTTGTTTATGAACTCTACAACTTTTTGATCACTATCAGTGCCAAATACTGGAGCA